CCAGCGCTGCAAATTGCGTGTCCCCGAACCAGCCATATGCATTCGGAATTTGTCACTCCGGGCCAGGGCCTAACTCGGGAGATTCGGGGAAGGTAAATAAAAAACTGGAATCGAGTGCTAAAGGAAGCGTTACATCCAAATTAGCACAAAAATTAGAATAAATCGGGCCAGTTTTCGAGTTTGGAATATTAAGGAGTTTTCACATTATCGGGGGGGGGGGGATTTATCAGGAAAAAATCCGAATTTGTTGTTTAAGTCCAGAAAATGAGAAAAAGACGAAAGCCTTTTTTAGGAAGGAATGTCCAAAGTCGGTCATTAAGAGTCGGAATATCCATATTTTTTTGTATTTTTAACAAAACTTTGTAAAGTGTATTTTTTGAAGGAGTGCACCAACATTTCGCAAAGATGATTGATATTTAACAGAGAATTATGCTAATTTTTCCAGGAGGAAATCCAAAAGCGGCTCTCCCTGCCGGCCGACCTGAGATTACCCGTATCGGTGCTCGAGAAGCTGAACAAGACCCCGTTGGACCAGCCGTTGACGCGGAAAAATCGGAGAGCAAGTTTGGTGGGTATTTTTGGGGCGTTTTTGATACCTTAAGATGTGCACGTTTGACGGTTCTAAGTTTTCGATTTTAGAGCGAAATCGGGTTCGGCAAACTAGAAACGTACGAGCGGTTGGAACGACTCGGCGAGGGCACCTACGCCACCGTAATCAAGGGACGAAGCTTGTTGACGAATAAATTTGTCGCATTAAAGGTGGTTTCACTGAGATCGGCCAATAAATATCTTGGATTTAGGAAATTCGGTTAGAGCAAGAGGAGGGCGCACCGTGCACCGCCATCCGAGAAGTCTCCCTGCTGAGGAATTTACGCCATGCTAATGTGGTGAGTTTTGAATTTTTGCAGGAAGAAAATGTAAGCCCGAGTCTAAGCTTAAGCCTATGCCTAAGCCTAAGCTAAGCCAAGCACAAGCCTTGTGTAAAATGACAAATTTTTCGTTAAGTTAATTTTCAAGGTAACCCTGCACGACATCATCCATACGGATCGCCTACTGACGCTGGTATTTGAATACGTGGAACGGGACCTGAAACAGTATATGGACGGCATTAACGATCGATACTGCATGAATTTGAAGAATATTCGGGTAAGGTTGCATTAGGAGAGATAGAGAGAGATAGAGAGAGAGAGAGAGAGAGAGAGAGAGAAACAGAGAAAGAGAAAGCCAGAGAGAGAGAGAGAGAGAACGAGCGCGAGAGAACGAGAGCGAGAGAACGAGCGATAGAGAGAGAGAACGAAAGAGAGAGAGTGAGAGAGAAGAGTGAGCGAACAGAAAGTCATACCGTACTTTTCAGTTATTCCTATTCCAACTTCTGCGGGGCCTCGCCTACTGTCACGCAAGGAAGGTGTTGCACCGAGATTTGAAACCTCAGAATTTGCTGGTGACTGCAAGGTTGGTGGAATTTTATAGGGAAAGTGCCGTAGGGAGAATTGGAGATAATTAAAGAAGTGTGAAAAATATATCCGAGATGACGATTAAATTCTAGAGGCGAGTTGAAGCTGGCCGACTTCGGGCTGGCTCGGGCCAAGAGCGTCCCGACAAAAACGTACTCGAACGAGGTGGTGACGCTGTGGTATCGGCCGCCGGATGTGTTGTTAGGTGCGTTTGAGGTCGAATTCCGACTCATTGAAGCCCAAGCCCAAGCCACAGGCTCGACTTAGCAAGTCTGTAGGCCTTAGAAAAGCTTAGGCTCGCTGGCAGCATTTTCTAAGAATGCTTTCAGGCTCAACCGACTACTCGACGCACATCGACATGTGGGGCGTTGGCTGTATTCTCTACGAAATGGCCAAAATGCGACCACTTTTCACGTCGGTCTCCCGGGACGAGCAGCTGAGTTTCATCTTCAGGTACGTGAGCTTCTACCTTAATACGTTAGCTTAAAAATAGCGGCTTAGAAACGCGTTAGCGGAGATAAATGCATATACCGTAATACCGTAATATACCGTAATACCGTACCGTAAGACACCAAAAAAAAATACCGTAATACCACGATGCGGATAGTACCGACCAACCATGGAATGCCGGATAAAAAAACATTGCAACCGCGCTTAATCCTACCGTATCTCCTCTGCGAGGCGCGGAGCATAAAATAAAACCCAGCACTCCAATTATCCCCTCCAAACGTCTATTTTCAGAACGCTCGGCAGCCCGGAGCCGGATCGCCATCCCACCATCTGCAAATCCCCGGATTATGGCACTTTTGCTCGGCAGTGGTGGGTCCCGAGAGAGATGTTATTTTTTTATAGGGGCCGCCGGAAAGCTTCGATTCTAATAAAAATATTCAGGCTTTAAAAACACAATTAATTTCCTTTTGCAGCTATGACGACATGGCGAACGGGGGCAGCAAGCGGAGGCTTGAATATATGTGCCGAGAGTTCGACAAGCGGCTATTCGATTTATTACGGAGATTTTTGCAGGTAGGTGCCTGATCTAGACCTTCTATGTTTTCCATTAATTCCTCCATGAGATGCATACGGTAGTCAATTCCAGTACGAGGGTCGCGACAGGATGTCCGCCCAAGAAGCCATCGACCACCCCTTCATCCGCACCCTCCCACCGGCCGTTTTTCTGCTAAAGGTGTGTTTCGTACTCTATTAGGTTTTATCTCTCGCTCTCTCTCTCTCTTTCTCTCTCTCTATCTATCTCTCGCTCTCTCCCTCCCTATCTATTTCTCTAGCTCTCTTTTTCTCTCTCCCTATCTAACTCTCCAGCTCTCTCTTTTTCTCTCTCCCCTCTCTTACCCTCTCTCCCCTCTCTCTCTCACTCTCACGCCACTATCTCTCTTTCCTTTAAAAGAGAGTACTGTAAACTTTCTTACAGTAACCCAACATTACAAATTCCAGGACGACGAGTCGGTGCTCACCGTACCAGGGGTTAAGCTGGAGTACGAGCGGTCGGATGACGTGCGAATAAGTACGTTACCCGCTGAGGTGAACGCTTTTGATGTCGTTTTTGTGGTCGTGAAATGTCGATTGGTGTAGTGCGTAGTATTGACGAGGCTTTCGTGTCGCGGTGTCAACATTTAAGCCTTTGTTAGATCATTAGATTTTAGATTTTTTTTTCGAAAGCATGTAATTACGATTAATGCAGAGACCGCATAGAAATTATAATGGCTTTAAAAGGCATGCTTTTTGACGCTACTATTGAAATAAAATTTAAGTCAAACCAATCCATAATAACCCGTTTCTTTCAGCGAGCCTACATGCGGAAATGAAGGCCCCGAGCTATCGTAAGACGAGCGACGGCGGGGTGGGCGAGGTGGAGCGTCTCGTAGCCGCGGCCCCGCGCCCGATCACGCACAGCGACCGCCTGTAGAATTGTTAAAGTACCCTCATCAACCCGTGTCGCAACCAATTACCCTTTCCAAAGTGATTCGAATCCGGTATTCAGTTCTTTCCCGCGGCTGCACGTCGAAATATGCTAATTTTTGTGTACGCATCAGATATTGTGAAATTTGTGGCGGTTTTTACAGGGGCTGGAAAGCTAGGGAAATTCAAAGCTCATTGATAGAAAAATTTGGAAAATTTATACAGGAAATAGGATTTATAAATTTTTTTTTGAGGCAAGCTAGCAGAGACCATTGAGGAGAGCTAGCAGAGACAATTGCGGAGAGCTAGCCGAGATCCTGCAGACAAAATTAGCCCCTTTAAAAGCCGCCCCAGCTTCATTAATTTATTTATTGCCCCCAAATTCCCGCGCCACGAAATCCCCCCGATATCTGTGATTTTCCCCGATGGCAAACGCGTTGTGAATCTTTAAAATTTTTTAATGATTTGTGAAGTCTAGGCATAAGCCCAAGCCTAAACCTAAGCCTAGCCTGAGCCTAAGCCTAAGCCCAAGCCTAAGCCCCGCCCCCAGTTCTTCTGTCCCCCTTGCCAATTCACCCCCAAAAAAAACCCAATTTGCATCCACCCCCGCGTGTGCTACCGTATCCAAAAAGGGTCCCACCATATTGCTGAACACACATCCAAAAATATAGAAGAGACAAAAATCGTTTTTTAGAATATCCCGCTCGCTAGGCAACCGCATCTCACATGTATTCCCCCCGAAATCCCCGAAACGCTCCAGAGTACGAGATCCCCCGATTTAATTATTTGATGGTCTTTTTAGTGAGTTTTGATGTTCGTACCCTATCTAGCCCATTTTTCAATTTTCCGGCATTGCATTGCGATATAAATGGATATTTTATTATTGGAAAAGCATGAAAAACGTACTAGTGGGAGAGAGAGAGACAACTAGAGTAAGAGATAGTAGGAGAGAGCATTGGCGAAAGAGAGAGCGAGAGAGAGGGGAGAGAGAGAGAGCTGCAGAGAGCCACAGTGAGCGAGAGTGCGCGAGGGTGGGTGAGGGCTAGAAAGCGAGAGGGTGAGAGGTATAGAGAAAGATAGCAACAGTGAGGGGGAGTGCGAGAGCTAGATCGAGAGAGAGAGAGAGAGAGAGAGAGAGGCGAGAGCGACCTTTTCAGGTAAAAAACAAACACCATTCCACAAAACTCATTTATTCAAGCACCACCACCCCATCTCCAAGTGGGCAATCGAAATACGGTATCCCCTCAAGGCCTTATGAAGTCTCGAGGTAGTCATAGTTTCGGATGAGATCATCGATGAGGGCCGCGTGGCGATCCCCGTATTCGAGGGCGTGCAGGATCGGCTCGAGGGCGGTCAGGTAGGATTGGCCGATGTCGGGCAGCTTCTCCTCGCCGCGGGCCGCCTCGCACAGCTGCGAGCCCTTCTCGCCTGAAAAAGGAGGGCATTCCACAAGGGTCTCTGCCAGCTACATGGCTTGGGTTTGTAAAGGGAAAGTGTAAGGAGCCTTTCAAGGAAGCATGACAGGAAGCGATGGCCTTTCCCCAAGAATCTTTGCTAGTACCCCTGACTGAGTCTATTTAAAGGGACAATGACAAGCACTTGCTAGCCCCTCAAGTATCTCTACTAGGCATCATTTTAAAGGGACAGTCACAGCAACTAGCTAGCCTTTCTCAAATTTCTCTGCTGTGTTCCCCACTTTTCGAGGGATAGTGACAGCAGCCCGTCACACGCAATGCAAGCTAGCAGAGACTCTTCGCCCCTTCCCCAGTCACCCACCCTGGTACATATGAATCTCCTTGGCCTTGTAGGCCTCGTAGCGCATCGGGCCGAGCTTGGTGGCCGTCATCTGGTAGATGAGCGCCGGGTTGAACTTGGCCTGCTCCGGGTCGTACGTGTTGCGGTGGGCGGCGTCGCGGCAGTAGCACATCGACCCGTACCCCTGGTCGTCCTTGCTCACCTTCTACAAAGCGGGTGTTTCAATTTTGGTCATGTCGAGATTTTAAAGTAGAACTGTCGGCATTTTCCAAAATAACCGGAAAAACTGACGGCGATGAGGTCCGGGGTGTCGACGGTGCTCTGCCGTGGGGAGACCGCCTTCGCCGTGTTCAGGTCAGTGTCGGAGGGCTGGGGCTGGGGGGTCTGGAAAGTGGGGTTGAGAGGTGGGTGGCAGAGGTTCTTGTGGGAAAAGATGAAGAAATGGGTAAGAGTCTAGAAACCCCCCCCCCCCCAGCCGGAACCAACTTTTGGATCTCGGCCCCCCCCCCGTTGTGCTAGCGAGCTCTAAAGTATACCAAAATGTTCGCCGTAGGCTAATTAGTAAGACTACATTGCAGTTCAGTCGAAAAAAGTAGCGAAAAATAAAAATAAGGAAGGTAGAAAAGTTGAAAAATCGGCTGGGGGGGGTTTCCTAGACTTGAGCCAAGAAATGAGCTAGCACTGCCCCTTTAAGAAGGCTATTAGAGACCATTAAGGAGAGCTAGCAGAGGCCATTGAGGAGGGCTAGCCAAGACAATTGAGTAAAGGCTGAATTCGACAAGCTAGCGAAGATCCTTTAAACTCCTCACCACTGCCGCAGGTTCCGGAGCCGCAGGAGCAACAGGTGCAACAGGTGCAACAGGTGCAGCCGGAGCAGCAACTTCAGCAACCACGGGGGCTGGCGGTTCGGCAGCGGCCGGCTGCTTCGGCGGTTCCGGGGTGGGGGCCGGGGGAGGGGGAGCAGCTTCCTTCGGTGGCTCTGGAGCGGCAGGGGCGGCGGCGGCGGGAGGGGCAGGTTCTTTCGGGGGCTCAGGCGCTGCAACGACCTGGGCATAGGTGGCGGGCTCGGCCGGCTTCTCCTTCTCCGGGGCGACGGCTGGGGCTGTAGATGATCAACTTTGGCACGTTGGGAGATCCAATTTACCTAGTTGAGGATCAGCAGCAGGAGCAGGAGCAGGAGTAGGGGCGGGAGCAGGAGCAGGATCGGCCGGCGGCTCGTGGGCGACGACCTCGGCATAGGTGGGCTTGTCCTGGGTGGCTTCCGGAGCCGGGGCGGGAGCAGTAGCAGGGGCTGGAGTTGGTTCTGCAGCTGGAGCCGGAGCGGGAGGCGCGGCTGCGGCGAGCTTCTCCGCGATCTAAGACAATTTTAATCGAAATATTCGTGTGGCTGACCTGCTCCTTCGACGCGAGGGCCCTCTTCTTCTCCGGGGTCAGCGGGGCACGGACCTTCCGCTTCGAATCCTTGCTTTTCTGAACGGGCTGGGAGAGGTAATGGTACGGGATGCGGTAGATACCTTTTTGGAGGGTTTGGAGGTGCTGTGCTTGGTGGACTTGCTCTTTTTCTCCTTTTTCTGGAAAACAAAGTGGTACTGTTATAGCCGCACTGCTTGAAGACGTCGAAAACGCTGCAAATTCCTCAAAAAGCTTTGCTAGCCAATCCCCTATCGATTTAAGCCGAACTGCTTGAAGACTTCGAAAACGCGGCAAATTCCTCAAAAAGCTTTGCAGGCCAATCCCCTATCGATTTAAGCCGGACTGCTTGAAGACGTCGAAAAATGGCCCTGCTTCCTTAAGAAGCTTTGCTAGTCCATCGCCTTATCAATTTTCGACGAACTGCTTGAAGACGTCGAAAACATGGCAAGCTTCCTCAAGGAGTTCTCCTAGCCCTCGATTCCCGAATGATCCTTGCTAGTCACCTTCTTGGTGCTGGCGGTGGTGGTGGGTCGACGATTCGGGGGTGCGCCACCAGCCGCCGGCCCCATGTAGAAGTACCACCAGATGACGGCGGCCAGCCCGGCAACCAGCACGACATGCTGCAGACTTGGGTAACTAAACCGGGCCCTATCATCGGTGGGGTACGGTAGATCGGGGCTGGGTTCTAGCCAGAAAAATTGACGCAAAATTCCAAACGTACCCCATTGCAAAAAAGGGAATTCGGTAGAAAATGTGTGTACGTGTGGAAGGAGGGGAGATATGGAAAAAGAACGAATGGTTTTACAGAGAAAAGATTTTCTACTCGAAAATATATGCAAAATTGGGAAAACTTCCGGCTTCCAATTTTGAAAAAGCAAATTTTTAGATGCTGATTGATGAAAATTAGATCGAAAAATTTGTTTACCCCCCCCCGGTAATGCAAAAGTACCCAAATTGCCTCAAATGATTGCAGAATTTCTTTCCAGAAAATTTCCCCATTTTCGTTGCCCCCGGAAAATAATTGGAAACAGGTGACGCAAACGGGGCCGCGGCAGCCAAAGGCTTCGCCTCTGCCCCGGTGTAAAATTTGCATACGCCCTCATTTGCATCCGGGCGAGAAGGTGGAGGAGGAGAGGGAAGAAAAGGAGGAGAGGGAGGTGCTCAGGTGACGGCATGTTGCTAAGGAATTGCTGTATTTCAGGAAGTTTTGGTTTTATTGTGCTTCGTGGTCCTGGCTGCCGGCTTCCGGCTTCCGATTTTGCTGCTTAGGCTTAGGCTTCGGCTTCAGAGTCGGTTTGGGCTTAGGCTTAGGCTTCGGATTCGGCTTGGACTTAGGCTTCGGATTCGGCTTAGGTTCAGGCTTCGGATTCGGCGTGGACTTAGGCTTAATCTTAAGGTCAGGATCACGATTTGTAGGACTCCAAACTCCAGCTCCAAACTTCGAGCTCCATTTCCCAGTTCCTAATGTTTCTTTCTCTCAAAATTACCAACAAAACCGATGACGAATCCCGGAAACAATTTCAAAACCCCCGGTGATTTCCGGCCGAGAATAGCCCCGTTGGTTTCGATGCGCCATCCGCCCGATCGTATCCGTTTTGCGTGCACTGTTTCTCAGGATCGTATCCCCCGGGCGAATTCGATTCGATATTATGTGCGAATTTATGGTGGCCGTGGCCCGAAACGACGGCACGCACACATGCATTTCAGAACGGATACCGGGCGAGGGGGGGCTGACTAAAGGGCGGATGGGAACGGAATTTCGTCTCGAATCTTTGCCGATATTTCGTTCGTTCCGTTTTTATCTATGCCGTATTACAACATTTTTACTATGTACTTTTGCGCGCAGGATATCATAGAGCTCGACGATTTTATTCTCTTTGTTTTATAGCTGTTTTAACCGAGTTTTTTCCTAAAAATTAAGCTGTAGGTCAGGCCAGCAGTGATTCTGAAACATCCTGACTTGCCTGCAATTTGAAGGCGTGCTAGCAAAGATACTTTTAACCGTCCTTCCGCCTGACGAAGCCGAAACGTAAGCTATCAAAGCTTCTTGAGGAAATTTGTCTTGCGGCGCCAATTTATGGCTATCGAACAGAGATCGTTTAGGAAGGCTAGGCACAGGCGAGCTAGCAGAGATCCTCGAGGAAACTGACTCTCTCTCACTCTCGCTCTCTCTCTCTCTCGCTCTCTCTCTTTCGCTTTCTCTCTCTCCCTCTCTCTCTCTCGGAAGATAGAAGAAAACCTAGCAGTGATGATTGAGAAAACACAAATTTTCGGGCTATCATGCGCTAGCAGAGATCCTTGAAAAAACCCATTTCTTCAGCAGAATTGAGGCTCACAGAAATTTTTTCGAATTTTTTAAGTTCAGGCTAGATTTACCCCTCGCTTGTCCCTTAGGCTGGGGCATAAGCTGCAATGAACATAGAGGTAAGCATCGGCTTGCATTCTGGCCCCTAACAATGACGAATTTGATCTCAGATACCTTCCCCTTTCAAAACAAGTTGTTATTTTGTTTGAGGTATACGATAAGCTGCGCGCAAACGATCCGAAGACGGTATCCAAAATGACGATCCCCCACTGGTTTTTGTCAATAAACAGCTTACACTCTGTGCGGGACAGATGCGTGTTCGAAAATATCGGTCGGCGAGTTCGGTGAAAGCAGCAGAAAGCGGAAATGTAAATATGGGGGGCGGATGGCATGAAATATACACGCACTAACATCGCCCACCTGCTCAAATAGGAGTCGCTCGAGTTTTTGACTGTCTGGTACTTCACTTCACTGGCACTTTGATGCTAAGGGCCATCGATAATCCTTAAAGTTCTCTGCTAGCTTGCCCTGCTCTTGGGATCCAGCTGAGGCTTAACATTCCTCAATGGCCTCTGCTAGCCTGCTTTTCTATTTCATTCTTTCCCGCGCTTAGGCTTAGGTTTTCCTGAAAAATCACTGCTACTCCGCCTTGTTCTTTCGATCTAGCTGAATCTAGGATTTCCTAAATTACTTCTGCTAGCTTGCCACTTCACAACACCCTGGCCTGACATATGCTTTCCTCAAGGATCTTTGCTAGTTGCCGGCCCTGGAATAAAATCGTAATATTATCATTTCCCAAATGATTACTGCTAGCCTGCCCCCCTTTTTCCAGGCGCCGTTCTTGTTAGTAGTAGGGCAAACTAGCAGAGATCCTCAAGAAAGCCCCTTTTCGTAAGGCAAACTAGCAGAGATCCTTTAGGAAATCGCTTTTAAGGAGGCAAACTAGCAGAGATATTTAAGGAAATCTCCCTTTATTATGGCTAGCCAGCAAAGATTCTTGAGGAAATCCACCTCATTAGGGCAAGCCAGCATGATCCCTTAGGAAATCTCCTTTAATAAGGCTGGCTAGCAAAGATCCTTAAGGAATCCTCTTTTAATGAGGCAAGCTAGCAGAGATCCTTGATAAAATTAGGGTTAATAAACCAAGCTCCCTATCATTCCAGAACACACCTCCGTACGCATGCCTTTTCCGACCCCCGAAAACCCCAAAAAAACGGTCTATTTGCTACGAGTCCGCTCGATCACCACGAAAACCATCGAGGAAATCGAGAAGCGACCGCTTCTCAATGTTTTCCGCGACGATCCACGATTACAGCTCTATTTACATGGTCCTCGTCGGCTACCGTAATCCCTAATTGGCGGACAGGGGCTAGGGGCCAACAGTCAATTTGTGAACTGACCTCCCCTGCCTGCGATTTGGCCGTAAATAGTAACTTAGCGTTCTCGGGGGAGTG